TTTATAGGGTTTTTAGGGTTTAGGGGACTGGGCGTCAGATGAAGCCAGAAGGAAACCCGGAAGAAAAGCTCCAAAGAAGAGGAGTTTAAGGTAGAGGCTGGATCGTGCGGTACGTGTCCCTTTTCGGCATTCTCCTTAAACGCGTGTGAGGCATCGTCGCTTCTGCTTGCGCTGGAGAACATCAGCAACTGCCTTTCTGCCTGAATTCTTAATTTCTTCATGGGACCCTTGCAGCTGTGCAAAACAGGGTTCCCTATTCAGCTCCAGGGGGTCTGAGATGGATGGATTTATCAAGCCCTGCCTGCCGCCAGTCTAAACTCACCCTCAAAAGTGAAATCCTAAACTCTAACCGCCAAACAGAAGACCGCCGAGGCACGGTTGCCGTCTGCTATGCCCTTAGCGTGGCTGTTCTCTGCTGGATCTGCTTCCGGGGGCTGCCAAAGAAGCAGCCCCAGCACCCCAGTGTCCGACATGGGGGCTCTACCAGGTGGGCCTCGGGGCAGGGGCGGTAGAGAGGTTCTTTCAGGTGTCCTTCAAGGGATACAACATGAGTCATGTTTCAAAAAAAAACAACCAGAAAAAATGGAATCGCTGACTGATCATGCAGGAGTTCAACCGTTGAAAGGTTTGGGCGTGAGGATCTGCAGGTTGACTGACCTGGCAGCTCACTTCGGGGCTTGAGGTTTAAGTACTGTGGTTTATGGTCCAGAGTTTAGAAGTGTTTAGGGGTTTAGGGGATTAGGATTTAGGACAAACTTAGCATTAGGACTTCGGGGCTTTTGCAAGTTTAAGAGTTGCAAGAATGCAGGTCCGTTGGGTCTCATGCTGCCGAGTGCGGCAAGGAAGGATTTTCGAACTAACCAGCCGGTAGTAGCTAAAGCAAAGTCTATGGGGCTTTTTGGTCTACTATGGGCGCCTTAATAATTACCTATACTATTTTGGGGGTTCCTCATTAAGATTATAGTATAATGGGCCCCAAAACCCTATTCTAATTCTGAAGGCCCCTATATTACCAATACTGCGGTTGAATTTGGGATTCCTTCTTGTAATTATAGCATAATATACACCAAAAACTATTCTAATTATGAAGGCCGCTATATTATGCGCACTGTACCTCGGTTCGTCAAGACAGAGTCGCGTACTATCATCACACATAAGATAGCTAGAGAATGGTAGCAATGGCAAACTACAGCTGCAATTTATGCTATTGACACTCTTGGATTACAGCTGCTCGCGGTCGGGATACGATTGCCATGTACTTCTATTACCGGTACCATTGTAACTACAGTCCCTGTTCCGGCAAATCTTACCGTCAGCCTCGCCAACGTCATCATCCTTAGAGCTCTCGTTTCCAAGTAGGGTTACAGGGTTCCAAGACCTAATGAACCCTGGCAAATCTGCTGAGACACTGAGGAGGCGCTTGCCGAGCGCCGCCAACCTCTGAATTTAACTGCTTAAATCCCAAAAATCTTTCTCGTAGTCCGTAAACCCTACACCCTAAACCCTAAACCCTACACCCCAAAGTCTAAGTCAACCTCGGAGACTCAATACAGTCTGGTGCTCTTCCTGGGTACCGTCTACGCGTTTGCCTATTTTGCCACAGACCAGTACGTGCCGAGCATGCCGCAGATGGAGGTCATGCTGGGGTCGAGGGCTTAAGGACTGTAAAGGCTTATGTAGTGTGAAGAGGTTTGAATTGCGATAGATTCTGGATCATGCCAGAGTTTCTTTCAGGTCTGGGAAAATCGGATTCGGTACAAGGCTGAGTGCGCAGGTTTGCTAGAAGTTTTGAATGTCCGATAGAAGACTCCGAGATTGTCTGCCTTTGGGTGGCACGTTTACCGAGCGCTTCGCAAATAGAACCTCCACAGAGGTCCAAGCTGCCCCAGCATCATTGCCGCAATGATGGTGATGACGGTGTTAATGCTGCCGCTGTCATTTTTTGGTGTTGAGGATGATGGTGGTAGTGGCGGCCACCATCATTATCATCATCATCATCATCAGCACCGCCACCAGCATGACACTCATAATCCAGTTCAACAACCTCACTGATAGTAGCACCAGCATCATCGCCATCATGTCCATCATCACGATCATCACCATCGTCACTATCATCACGGCCACTGTTCTCCCCACTACCATCACCATGGTCATCATCATTATCTTCCAAAACAACATCATTCTCATCATCGCTGTGGCCAGGGTCATCCCATCTGCAGCCCTTGATAGCAGGTGGACCTGCATGGCTCGCAAACGCTGCTGAGTGCTTCGGTGCAGCTGAACCTGGTGGTGAAGGCTGGAAGCACGACGTTTCTGCTAGTCAGTTCGTCCCTGTCCCTTTGGGTCGCGCCCCGATTGCAGGCCGTTTCCGGGGTGCTTTCCGCCAGCCTCTCCGACCGAATTGGCCGCAAGCCGGTCGCTTTGCAGATATATCCATTGTCTCGGGTATCGGGAAGCCCAGGTGGAGAACCAGAGCTGTCAATTCTGAGCCTAGACCTCAGGCCTAAACCTTAAGCCCTAAACCCTAAACCCTAAGCCCACTGTTTTCATTGCGGAAGCCTTCGAGCTGTGTTTTGACTGCGCTTAGGGCTCTGTCTCAGGGTTTTAGGGCTTGGGGTTCGAGGTTTCAGGGTTTTAGGGCTTGGGGTTCGAGGTTTCAGGGTTTTAGGGCTTGGGGTTCGAGGGCTTAGGGTTTCAGCGTGGAGTTTTATGGCTAAGGGTTTCAGATCATCGGGTTAGGGGTTTGGAGTTTTAGGGTTTCGGGGCTTGGAGTTTTAAATCTCAGGGTTTCAGATCATAGGATTTGGGGTTTGGAGTTTCCGGGTAGACGTAGGCTTTCTGTTTGAGGGCTTAAGCGGGGCATAAGGATGCAGGGCTAGGGGCTAAGACGGTTAACATAGGGCCCTAAATAGTTATCAGTAGTATACTATTTTGGGGGTTCCTTCTTATAATTGTACAAGAGTAGATCCCCGAAGCCTATTCTAAGTATTAATGCCCCTACATTAACCCCTCCATGCGCTAAGCCGGTCTTAACTTTGCCAGCTGGAAATCTGACCTCCGCGGTGTAAGGGTAAAGCCCTAAACCCTAAACCCTAAGCCCTAAGCCCTAAACCCTAAACCTTAAGGGGTTCAGAGTCTGGAAGGAGGGGAAGTGTGATTCCTGGTAAGAAACCTGGGGCTTGAACCTTGAAGCTAAGGCTCAGGCTCCGGTTTAGGGTTTAGGGTTTAGGGTTCAGGGTTTAGGGTTCAGGGTTCAGGGTGTAGGGTTCCCAACTTCTGGAGAATCAGGTCCTACTGGTGGGCACGGTGCTTCTTTCGCTGGCGAGCTTTTGCTGCGGCTGTGCTGGTCGTATCGAGACTTGGGCCCCCAGAAACCCGTCAAGGAAGCCTTAGAGATTCCACTTAAAAAGAGGATCCTCTTTAGGGTTTAGGGTTTAGGACCCTAAACCCTAATCTAGGACATTTTCAGGTGGGTAGTTACCGTTATGGGAGCCTTATAGAAGGGTCTATAGACCTTAATAGGAGCCTTGTAGAAGCCCTATATACCCTAAAGTCCCCCACCCGTAGTTTCCTTTAACCAGGGAGGCTTTCAGGTTCAAGCCCAGACCTTGTTTGGGGAATCTCTTGCGCAGGGGCCTCGGAAGCGACATGTTTCCCCCTGTGGAAGAGAACAGCAGCAAACAGCAGTGGCAGTAGCACAGGCGTATTTGAGTTGTTGCAGCCTTGTACTGCTGTTTGGAATTTTGGTTGTTGTTCTTGTTCTTCTTGATTTTTGTTGTTGTTGGTGGTGGAGGCTGCCACGGACTCATGGAGCTTCGGGATTCGACAAGTCGTTGTTAGTGTCATTGCTGTTGCAGCTTGTTTTGTCTCTGTCTTGTGCTGTTCGTACTGCTCTCAGACGGTTTGCCACTTTGCCAACGATGACTGCGGAAAGCTTCCGGTGAAGGCTGCAAAGTCCTTCACCGATTGTGGTGCCTACGGGGCTTGCGACGTCCTACGGTCCCAGGACCCCATACCACCAAGACCCAGCTGCTTTCCCAGGAATGGTTCTTAGCGGCTCGGGTACTCCAGGCAGGACCGACTGGGGGGTTTCGACTTTGGGTTTCCGCAGGGCAGAGAGGCTTGCCGGTCCTACTCCCAAGACGCTAGGCTACATCTTGGGATGGCCCGGATGCAAGGCGACGTTTCTGAAGGTTTCCACAGAAGCCTTCATAGAATCCCTAATTTCGGCCGTTACAAGCCATGCAAGGCCAAAGCTCTAATGCCTAAACCCCCACACCTTACATCCGATACCCCAAAACCCAACAGGGCATGGGCGAGAGTGTGGAGCCCGTCGTCTTTGCCATGGCCAGGGACTTCTTCCCGCAGAGGGAGGAGCGCCCCTCGGAAAAGAAGCTGGTCTTCTTGTCAAGGAATTTTTGAGGTATCATACTCAGGAAAGCAACCCTAAACCCTAAGCCCTGAACCCTAAACCCTGAACCCTAAGCCCTAAACCCTAAGCCCTACACCCTAATCCCTAAATCCTAAAACCTAAACCCTGAACCTTAAACCCTAAACGCTATACGCAGAGATTCCCATGGTGGTAACTTAAGCTTTGTTCCTACCAATAAGCCCAGGCAGGGGCGCTCCCAAGGGTTTAAAGTTTAGGGTTTAGGGTTCAGGATTTAGGGTTTAGGGCTTAGGGCTTAGGGTTTAGGGTTTAGGGTTCAGGGTTTAGGGTTTAGGGTTCAGGGTTTAGGGTTTATTGTAAGGGTGCCTGTAAGGGTTGCCGTGCTACGAGTGACCACTAGGGTTACAAGTTACGCAGAGTTGCTACAAGGGTTACTATACTGCTGGATCAGGGATCGGGAGTTTAAGGAATTCGGGGGGCCTCAATTTTCCGAAGAGAAAGCTCCAGCAGATCTCTTGCAGGAAGGCGCGGCACGCTTTGCCTACATGTCATGCGCTTGTGGGGTACATCCTCCCTCACCGGAAACTCTGAGGGTTATAGCCTACAGGGCCTTTTCTGGGGGTTTAGATTCAGGGTTTTGGGTTTCGCGTTTTGGGCCTAGCGTTGGGAGTCATGAGCTTTCGAGTCTAAGCTTATGGTTCGCACGTCGTGTGATCAGTCCCCGAGGACCGCGGCCCGCTAGTCACATTTCCGGGCTTACGATACCCCGTAACCTCCTAGCCCACAGCCCTAAGCCCTATAAACCTTGATTCCTGAATCCCTAACCCTCAGCCCTAAACCCCAAACCTGAAATTCTAAGCATTACACAAACCCAAGACCGCATGTGGATCGCCTTGCTCTGCTTTTGGGATCTTGGGTCGCAGGAGCTTAAGGTGCAAATGCTGGATATGACGATGTAACTGAGACAACCACTTGCCCTCAGCTCAGTAGCAATGCTACCATAACCCACCGTAGCAAAGGCGGCAGCGTCTGGCAGCTATTTCGCAGAAGAGGCGTAAGGATCTACAGCCCGAAGCCTGCACCTCAAAGGCTTCCTGATGGTGGCGGCCATGAAGATGCTGTCCTTCGTCGGCATCGCCCTCGCTCCGTCTCTTGGACTGCTGTGCGCGGCGATACCGAAATTACATGCAGGTGTTCTACATGCAAGGAAACCAGAGTCGTGGCACAGTCGCATGTAGTCGAAGGCTGAGGGAGAACGTGGGCCATAAAGGCAGCAGGCTTCGATTCGAAGCTCTTCTTCTGGGTGCATGTTCAAGCCCTAAACCCTAAACCCTAAACCCTAAGCCTGCACCAGGTTCGTCGGTGGGCTTTGCGCCGAATTCTTCAGCTGGCGTGTGACCTTCTTCGGCTTAGCCGTGGCCCCTTCTCCTGCAAGGACTTGTCGTAGCCCCGAACCCCAAAAAATCCGAATCCCATCTACCTCTGCAGGGCCTTTAGGCCCTAATTACGGTTTGGAGGCCCTTTTTTTCGGGTTTAATAGGCAGGTCGGTTAGGCTGCAAAGACCAAAAAAGGCGTGATCTATACCGAACATATGGTAAAGCGCAGCGTCCAGAGTGACCCTAAACCCTCAACCCTAAACCCTAAACCGTTCTTGTCGTGGAGATCCTGGTGCTCTTGAAGTCTCCTGGGTAGTATTGGGAGACCCCCGTTTTTAGGGAACCCTTCTTAACCCGTACTTTTGGCTCTCTTCGAAGGGGGACCTTATTGAGAGGGTCTATATCCCCAAGGGTCCCCTTGATCCTAACTCCCAAAGTCCTAAACCCGGAGTCCTAGCCCATACTCGCCGACTCGCTGATCAGGTTTGGGCTTTGCTGTTCCTCTATGCTGTCTTCGCGGTGGAGGACTCAAGAGTTTTGGAACCCCGGGGGGGGGGGGGGGGGGGGTAAGTTTAGGGTTTAGGGCTTTAAGTTTCGGGTTTGGGGGTTAAGGAGCTAAGGGGCTGATCATGGTATAGGACTGCACAAAGCCTCGTGGAAGTCAGTCGGGCTGAAAGCAAAGTCTCGGTTCCTGGGTGCCCCCTTTACAATAAGGGTACCCTTTTTTCCTACTATTTGGTTTATAATAAGGGGACCCTAGCAAAAGGCAACAACAATACTACTCAGGAACCTAGAACTTTACGAAAGAGAATGGAAGGATAGAGAAAGCTCTGTCAACAAAAATACACACAGGACCAAATGACCCTTCAAAGTAGGGCCCTTTAAGGGGTTCCTTTGCGGGGGTTTAGGATTTAGGGCCTGAAAATGACCAAGTGACCCTCAAAAGTAGGGGCCCTATACCCTTCTAGTATGAATGGCTTTGGGCAACTGACGCGCTACCATTGCATCACTTGGACCCTTCCACACCCCACAAACCCCTGATAAAACCCTCACAAGAACCAAGGACATCCCTGACAATATTGAAATCTAAACTCCGAAGGTTGAAGGATAAAACCCTCATAAAGCTAAGGCCCCGAATATTAAACCCCAGACGCTAAAGAACCCTAGACCCCCAAATTCTACACCATAAACTCGCGTTGCAGACTCCGGCCTCCAGGACAATCCCCAGATCACTGAATCCAGGTTCAGCGTGAGGTGAGAAGAAGGCCTTTGGTGCGTCAGCCTTACCTAGAAGGTCATACGGTTCATGATACAAATCCCGCAGTACGACCCATAGGAAGGAGTTTACCATAATTTTCATGGTTCAGGGTGCTTAAGGTACTGCAGGATTTCTATCATCAACAGTACGCTATCTGTTGTTTAGGGTAGTACCTAGTTTTCTGGTTAGGATCGGTTATGTAGAAAAAAATTAGGTACCCGAAGAGTATGACTCCGTAGTAGGTATGGCTAAGGCCCACATTTTGACTAGGCTCATGGTCAGCGCGGTTCGTGATTTGAGGTTTTAAGGTTCAGGGTTCAAGCCCACAGGCCAAACGTGGGATTTTGGGGTTCGGATCTGTTGGCGGAGTAAGCGGGTTTAGGAATATAGTTAATTATATAATCTTTCTGACAGGGTTCTACGGCGGGTCCTATTGCGGGATCTAGAATCTAGACGGCTCAGGGTTTTGGGCGTACCTATGTGGGCTTTGGGGTGCCGGGTGCAGGTCGAGTTTAACATTCGTCGCGAAATCTTCTTGAAAGGTCGAGTCTACGGCTTTCGGGCTGTTTAGAGCTCAGGTTTCAGGGTTATAAGGGGTTTAGCTTCTATGCATCTTGTGAAGTTGGATTGTGAACGGGATCCTATAGGCTGTCATATGGCTCCTCGTGTGTGTATTATCCCTAAACCCTAAACCCCAAACCCGGGCTCCATAGAACTTTCCGTAGAGGCCAACATCCCCTAGCCATAGAATGTAATTTTCATTCTGCACAAGAAGCCTACAGGCTGACCCTGGCTAGGTTTTAGGTTCTAGGGTTTAGGCTTTAGGGCTTTGGCTTTCGGTCTGGGGATAACGGGTTTAGGATTTAGGGTTTAGGAGACAAGCAGCAATGCATGTGGGCTTTCTGTGAGTCTGTCCCATTCTGGATTGGGCCTTCTGGGAGGCTGTGTGGCGGTGCCGGAAGAAGCAGTGGGACTTTTGTGAATGGCGGGAATCGTCGAAAAGGGAAGAACGGTGCTCCAGCTCGTGAAGGGTTGGGGGGTGTAACCTTTGTCAAGAATGGGGCCGGCTCCAACTCGTGAAGGGTTGGGGGGTCCACCCCTTGTCAAGAGGACGTCTTAGAGCCACCGGTACGAAAGCCTCAACATGGTCGGGTTATGCTGCCCTCCAACTTAAGGTTAATTCTGTCCTGGGGTTATAAATGCCACAAGAAAGCTTAAAGCTATTTGCTACCGGCTCTGCTGAGGTCCCCACTCCTGTGACACGAATTCCACCGTAGACGTGGCATGCGGGAAGCCCAGGGGAACCTCGTGCTTTCAGAATTGGTTTTTCGGAGTTCAGGCGTTTGGGAAAGTGCCGTCCTTTTAAGCAGCGTAGACACTAACCATGTCATAGGTACCTTCACACATTAGTCTGTTCTTGAAGATTCTGGGGGGGCATGGCCGCGAAGGAACTACTAGACAAAGGCTGGACAGTTCGACGACAACGGCACGTTGAAGGAACTATGGGTTTTTTAGGGTTCAGGGGTTCGAAACTTCGAACCCCGTTCTAGAATGTAGATACAGCTCAGGGAACGGCAGGCTTCACTGTTTGGAACATGGAAACCACATTGTAGCTCCCGGCTCGTCCACCCAGACCCCCAAAAGCATCCCCAAAGTAGGTCCTTTAACATGGCTTCCTACAAATCTGGGTAGTGGTATGGGGTACGAAATTAGGGGTTTCTACTTGCTAGATCCTCGGTAGAAAGTACTCTTTAGTAATCATACAGTCCCCAAATTCGCGGACCTACTTGTCGGAAAACCCGCAACCCTGAACCCTAAAACCCTAAAACCCCAAACTTTAAACCCTAAACCCTAAAACCCTAAACCCTAAACCCTGCCCCCCCCCTCCCCCAAGCTCTTCCATGCCAAAAGCGGCATAGAGCACATCGCCGGGCTCGAGGACGACGTCTATGAGAGGAGTTCCCAGGTGCTGCAGGACCTCGAAGAGTTCAGGGTTTAGGGCTGTAGGGTTCAGGAGTTAGGGGTTTCGGGTCGGTTTAGGGTTTAGGGTTTAGGGTTCAGGGTTAAGGGCTGCAGGGTTCAGGATTTAGGGGTTTCGGGTTTACGATGAGCAAAGTAAGAAAACATGACCTCGAGGGGTTCAAGGTTTGGGGCTGTAGGGTCCAGGGATCTATAGGGTTCTTTAAAGGGATCTATAGGTTTCCTTAAAGGGACCTTGAGGGGTTCAGGGCTGTAGGGGTTTTAGGGTTTTAGGGGTTTAGGGCTTAAGGGTTTTAGGGGTTTAGGGTGTTAGGGCTTAAGGGTTTTCGGGGTTCAGGTTTTAGGGCTGTAGGGTTCAGGGTTTGGGGGTTTCGGGTTTACGATGAGCAAAGTAAGAAAACATGTACTAACTATGAA